TAAAAGAGAGCTTTATGAATTTACAAGGTTGTATAATGACATCCTTTGAAAGTGATAAGTCCTTTCTGTTGATAGAGATGCACAAATAAACTGGCTGTGGACCTAAAGCTGAGAATTTTCAACTTGATCGGAAACTCTGTCAGTGAGCCTGTAATGTCACTTTTGGTTCCAATATAAATAACTGACTTTTCAGACCAGAAATGCATGAAATTTGATGTTCAATGCAGTCAGTCACAAGAGCAGATAAAAAGGGGAAATTGTAATCTCCTTAAGGTTGTATTGACAGGCCAAAGTTTAATCACAGATTGAAAAATCTGTCACGACACTCACTGATGACAAATGTATTTAGTGTAACTCATCGGGAGTAGAACTGTCAAATCATATCAATTTATAAGCAGTTAAAACATTGTTCAATGTAACTGTAACATTGGTAATGTATTATTTCTCTCAATATTGTGGTTTTTAGCAAAAATAAATAATTTCTGTAATTCTGACTGACATAAACAGGAGACGTTTGGTCTGATTTAACTTCAGAAGAAAACAAAAGGTGCGTGTGTCTTTTTATTTGGTATATGTACGCTTCTGATTTACTATGTATGATGTCACTCCACTGAAGACAGAATATCATTCAATAAGCAGGGAAGAACGTAAAAAATGCATCTTTTGTAAAGACTAACTTTCTCGCCGACTCCCTCTCTCTTTGTGTCGATCGTCTACCCTTCGCTCTCTCTCTTTAAATTCCCGTTGCTCTTTCTGTTGCTCGCGAATCTTCCGGTCTCGTTCGCGCTGGCGCTCCTGCTGCTCCAGACGGTCTCTGTGGTCAAAAACATCGAACAAGAAGCAGATCGTTTACACCAGCAAAAAACTTAAGAAACTCTGCCACATCATCCAAATGTTTTGTGTGTTTTTGGTTTAGATGCTTTCAGGGAATAAATGCACAACTACAGCAAAACTTAAGGATGGGCAATATGGCAACTATATTTGTCAAACAAATCCTTATTTTCATGACAATTTCAAGACATAAAAGCCCAGCTGTTAAGGTAAAGGCCTAATGGAGCACTTTGGAAGAGATTCTGATCATCTGCGTAATTTTCATACGTTGTAACAAACACAACTGATATTTAATCTGTACACTGGCATATTTACACCTTGTCTTAAATGGTTTTGCCAAATTCAAGACAATTTCTTTGAACTTAAAAGGTAAAACAACACCAATACTCAGGTAAGGTGCACTCTTACTACTTAATATCTATGTACTACCTACTACTTAATAGCCCGCATTTTGATCATTGTGTATATTTATCACAGATATTATTCAACTTAATTATAAACATTACAATTATTATTATTATTATTATTATTATTATTATAAGTAGAATTTTCACATTCTTCCTAGTTGATCACTCTCTCACCAACCCACTCATGCTTTTGGTTTATCAAAATAAAATACAATGTTTCAACCCAAACAATACTCTGAGTCTTTTTAATTAGTTGCAAACATGATATTTTAAGTTACTGTTAAGGTCTGCTGCAGTGACACTGTGTGAAATTAGATCTAAACCCTGTTGTAATTATTTTAACTGTCTAGAAGCACGTTGTTCACAAAACCTCACAAATCAACAACAAGTTCAACAGACTAACCAGACCACTGAAGAGCTAGCAAACAACCACCTAAATGTTTACTTACTTAGCATTAGCCGCTAGACACCTAGGAACAGCTGGAGGAGGGGAGTGTTCTTGGAGTTTTCTTCTGTGTGTAATGAGGACAAAATAGCTTCAATTGCATTTGGTGGACAATCAGAAACACCTGAGTCTATAGTAGCACCGTACCTGAATATGGCTTTAAAGGTAATTTTACTTTCAAACTGTTAAAACTGACTATTCGGATATCAAACGGGTACCATGGTGCACATGGAAAACCAGTAGTCATTTCATTCCTGCTGCATAAAAGTTCATTTATGAAGCTGAAGGAAGCAGACAAAACAGAAACTGATGTATCTGAGCAAAAGCAGGACAGCACCTGCAGGATCTGTGTCCTATGAGCCCACCAGATCTCTTCTCTGGTACATCCTCAACAGGTTGTAGTTGTTTAAGATGTAATATTGTCATATCGCCCACCCCAAAGTTTAACATATTGTAAAAAAGAAAATTGAATTACATTTGTATAATCCATTACATCCATAGATGATGGGGTGGTTACATTTAAAACCATATATGATTACCATGAAATCAATCGATAACTAACATTAACGCTCACCTCTCTCTGCGAGAATGAGCTCTGGCTTGTTCCCTTCGTTTCTGCCTCTCCCAGTCTCTGCGTGCTTTGTCTTCCTCCCATCGCCGCTTCCGGCGATCGCTGTCTCGCTCCTTTTCTTTGTCTTTGGCTCGTACGTGTTTACCTCCAGCTTTAATCGTAATCAACCGTAGGGGAAAAAAAAAGCAAAAGAAATGATCGAAATTTTGGTAAGACGCTCAGTCAATCACGTTTCTGTCTGCGTAATCAATCAAACGTCTCACCGCCTTCAGCAGAGTGACTGCGGTGACGTCTTTTATCCTTTCTCTTCTCCTCTTTTCTGTGATGCGTTTTGTCCTTCCTCGCAACCTGCTGCGGGGGCTTGATTGCTAGTGACTCGTCTTCCTCTCCTCTACCAGAAATATAACACAAACACTGTTTAGATTTCACTAATAACCGTTACTAACTAACACATTTGTATCATGGTATAATCTACCTATCCTCTGTAGAGTCCTCCCGTACGTACGGGGAATTACGAATTGTTATTTCCATTCTTTGATCTCGTAGTTCTCCTTCCTCCGGAGTGTCTCGCTTTGGTTCCCGATCATTCGTCTGTGGAACAACGCCCTGTGAGAACTGCGTAAAACAAGGCAACATTTATTAGTGCCTGAAATCCAAAACCTTATCAATATGAAATGACAACAGCTAATTATTAGAGCAAGCTCAAATCAGAAACAAGATATCTAAAATGCACCTACAAAAAACTCAGATAGATTTTTGGGCTTTTTTGTGTTACAATTTTTCAGAAAAATAATAAATGCTGATCTGACACAAAAAAAAGACCAATTAAAAATACCTGTGAAAATGAAATTGTAAATTAGTTTATTAACATTACCAGGAAAATTTCAAGGATAATGCTCACATTTCCATAAGCATGCATGTTTTACATGGCTACAATGTTTATGTTTTTCCTTAAAGGCACTTTACATTTTTCTGGCGCTTAACAACAGTTTTCTCTTCTAATTCTCGTCGACGTTTTTTTTCCTGCAAGATTTCGTCAAGAGTTTTTACTTTCCAGGTCTCCTTTTCGTCCCCCATCAGCATCCACAAACCACCACCTGATTCACATGACAAACACAGACGTACACAAAGATTTATCACAGCACTGGTGTTACAGATTTCTCTCACATTAGTAAACACAAGTCTGAAAACCACACGAGCGCAACTTTGTAAAAAATAAAATAAAAATAATAATAATACAGTACTGCATTTGTTTTTAAAATGATTCATGTGTGACGTTACTGCAACCAGCGTGTAGGTACACAAAACACTAATAATATACAGTGCTGTTTCATACCTAAGCAGCATATGGACTCAATACGCTGTACAATTTTAAGTCAGGTTTGTCGTTTCCACGTTACAGTGCTAGCTAACATTGCGACAGCCGTGTTGTAAGCAGGGTTATAAGCAGCTAAGTCAGTAAAATAGCTTAAAGTCTTAAACTCTATGACAAATTTGATAAGCTGGACACCACGTATAAACTCCCAAATTTCAAAGAGTAACATAGCAGCATGTTAAACTTTCAAAAGCTATTTTAAGTTTTATGTTGGACAGGAATGCTACCACGGTGCTAGCATTAGCAAACTTTAGCGTAAGCTAGCATGTGAGACCGTTGCTAAAAAAATTCTGCAGCTAAAAATATGTATTTTACAAAGAAATAAATATCACAGTTTTTATACATTTTAACTGGCATGTGTGTAGCAGTTTTGATATCTTAAAATAAAGGCGTGAATGCAGAGCTTAATTAAAATAATCGCTGAGAAAATAAAATACCCAAACACACCTGAAGATGCGCAGCGGAAGTTTAATCGTGTCACACACGTTCACACTGCTTCCGGTGTGAAACAAAACCTTCCTGTGAATTAGCACATCTAATCGAACGAAAATTTACGAAATTCAAGAAATTTTTTGTTCTATTTAAAAAGTAAACAGTGTCACTGCCCCTTATGTTGTATTATATCACGTTATACTGAAAATATAAACTGAAATACAGTTTGCATTTCCTTCTATACACTATTAATAACTAACTATTAATAATTAATAATATTAAAACCTTATGATCTGTTCATAAAACCATAAGGCAAAACATTAAAGTCTTTATCTACTTTCAATCTTTTAATTTTATGTAAAAATGACCTTTGGCTGCTGTTTTGCTTCATATCCTGTATTCCAGATAAAAAATATTTTTGTTGTTGATAAAATGAGCATATATGCAAGGTGAGCTGTTAAGAACATATTTACTGCCTTATTTTTTCTTGGTTTGCATTTCTTCATATCTGCTCAGGATGTGATAAAACCCTGAATTCATAAGGGCAAGAACTAAACTGGGTTTATCACTGGGAAAGTGTTGTATAATAAAGTTAAGAAGAAAGACAAGAACAGCTCATAGATTTATAACAGTGACCTTTGGCCAAAGTCTGACACTGAGACCGAGGCAGTGCTTTCTTTATATTTGAAAGAAGACCTTCCAGGCTTGTTGTTGTCAGCCACAAGTAAGAAAAACATTTTTTTCCTGTTTCTTAAAACTGACAGTTATTGTTTGACATTAGTTTTAAAGGTAAGACTCTATCTGAGGTTCCTTTTTTACTCATCAAAGTAATCAGCCAACCTTTCAGATATCAAACCTAATTTTAAAGCAGATTAATTTCCTTGCTACTGCAAATATTGACTTGCATGTAACATATTGTACTTCTGTCTCTAGACTGGCAGTGAACAGGGAATAATTGCACATAAACCTCTAATAATAGAAGAAGACACTTCCAATGGAGTCCAACGGGGAGAACAGCGTGCATTATGACCGCTGGAATGAGAGCAACATCAACATGAACGTAGCAGCTTCAGAGTCTACTGGAAGGAGGTGAGATGAAGATGAATCCCAAAAATCTATTTTAAATGAAGGGAAATAGTTTGTTGAGTAATCAGCTAAACTACTGGGTTCCTTAGACGGGGAGACACAACAGTGAGGAAATACTTTAACCCTGTTTTCATAATACATTTATGTAAATAGTTTCGCAATTTTTACAACCTTGGAAAGTTCTCCAGACTTTTTTAAGGGTCTTTTTCAAGTAATGCTGTTTTCTTTTTTTTAACTTGTGAAAAAAAAGTCTTTATTTTTCATTTTAAATGCAGAAAGTCTTTCATTTGTTGATCTGACATTATTATTATTGTTATTATATATATATATATATATGTATATATATATATATATATATATATTATTGTTATTAGATATATATATATATATATATATATATATATAAATATATATATATATATATATATATATATATATATATATATATAAATATATATATAAATAAAAAAA